CAAAGAATAGTCTATGTGCCCTCATAGGACTGGGAAGAGGGAGACATTTCCCACTCACAAACACCCCACGTGTTGGTTTCCAGGGAAAATACAGCTGCAGCCTCCCAACCACTCGGCAGCAGAGAGGAGCATCCCAGAAGGCACAACGCAGGAGATGCACGTGTGACGTGTCTCTGTGGGGCAAGAAAACCCATTCATCAATAAAAGACACTGGAAACTGAGGGTGTGAAACATGGCAAAAAAAAAAAAAAAAAAAAAAAAAAAATATATATTCTTGATGTCTTCACTCCTTTGTCTGCCTCACAGGCTACAGCTCTGCAATTACTTTTTTTTTTTTTGAGATTTACAAAGCAGATTATAGATTCTCTACTTAATAACCTTTGATTTGCAGGGCCCGAGTTATACATTTATATTTCTGCCTAGTTAACATGTAGAAATATGATGGCACATTTTATTATTATTTTTCAAAGCACAACCTCTAAAAATGCTTGCACTTTCTACTTTCATCCTGTTACATCTATCCTTCACTAAAGTAGCAAATAAAATAAATCTTTTTATTCTGTTGGAACCTCTTTACGCTACTTAGTACTACTGTATATCAACACAATAGTGTATACTGTACTGTCATGTAAGAAAAACTTGCATTTAAGAAAATTCATCTCAGGATCTTAACTCCATCCTTGAACAATTTTGCCTCATTTACCTTTACACGGAAGCACTGGTTGTTCAATTGACGAAAAAAAATTACATCACAGGAATAAAAAAAGATTAACTCAAATAACTCCCCACAGTAAGTCCACAGCAGAGGCAAAAAATTAAACCAATTAGACGAGCAAGGATTCAAGAAGCCTGTTGGAGCCCTCTGCCTTCGCTCGGCGACAGGGAAACGCGCTTCCTTATTCTGTGCCTTCGTTGACATCTGTGGAATGAGAATATTCTTCTCTCTCAACCTCTGGCTCCTTTATCTATTTAGAGAGTGAATTCTGGAGCCGGGGTCATTTCTCACAGGGCATCTCTGCGGCGCTGAGGATCGGGCGAGCGCTGCCGCTTTGTTGTGGCTGCAGAAGAGCCGTGGGTCACGGGAGACACAAGCAGGGAAAAGCCACCCTTGCTCCCTTTAATTGTTGGTGAAGAAATCATAGCTTTGCTTTTCCTTGATGCTACCTTGCTCTTTTATTACCAAAAGAGAGTATCGTGGGTTTCTCCAAGTGGGGAATTGATTAAAATACACGACTACGCGCAACTACAGCTTCATGCCAGCTGATGGTGCAAGCTTAAACTACAATTATTGTGAGATTGATGTAAAAGAAATAGTGATACAGCCAATTCGAATCAGGTACTCTGCTTTATTAACCATACAGAATGAATACATACGTTGGATTTAAGAAATAGGATCGTCTTCTTCAACTGGGTGGTCCTGCAGAGCTGTCTCCCAGGTGTGCCAGGACACGCTGACGGGGGAACCAGAGCTGAAATGAGATTTTCTGCTAAAGGCAGCATGGGCCATGGAGGAAAATAAAAGCTTAAGAATTTCAAAGCTTTAAGTAAATAGGAATCCCTGCCTCGGTTACAAAGACGACTGGCTGGCTGTAACAGGAGCAAGGGCAGGTGGAGGAATGAGGAGAGACAAACTGAGCAGCGCAACAGCCAGAAGGACAATTGGTACTCGCTTATCGTTCCTCCTCAAAGACAGAACCAGTTAAAACCACACCATTCCCAGCAGATGCTCCTCCAACCTGCGTTGGAGAAATTCCACAGACGGAGACGCCGCAGCTTCCCCAGGCAATTTATCCCTGGGCTTAACCATCCTCACACTTAGAAAGTTTTTCCTAATGTCTAGACTAATCTCTGCTGCAATTTAAGCTCATTACGCCTCCTCCCAGTCCCGCTGGACATGGAGAACAGTTTATTCCCTTCCACTTTGCAGGTAATCACAGGAGACTCTGAAGACCTATTACATCCCCCTGCCTTGCTGTCACACGTTGGCACACTCACACCTTTTCATGCTATAGAAAAACATAGGATATAGCCCAAAAGTGCCACACACGTGGCTTTATGAAATAAGACATATTCCATGGGAAGTGCCTTTAGCATATTAGTTATAAGAATATCTGGGCGAGTCCCGTATTTGACTTTTCATTTCTAAATTCTACATACCTAAACGTATTACAAAGCATCCCTTAAAATACTGTTTTGAACAAAGGAGCCTGATGTGTTTCAAAGGAAGCGCCGCGTGGCTGGAGGGCCACAAGTTGTATCAGTTGCATATTGATGAAAAAATGACTAGCATTGCGGTTATGATTACACCAAACAACATAAAAGCAGCTAATGGCCTAATCACCAGGACAGATATCTGCTAGTCCAAAGAAATGGGTTCTGCTCCAGACCACTAATACCAATTGCTGACGGTGGACGTGTCATTTAGGCCAACATTTGCAAGAGCATCCAACGGTAGGAACCACCCAGCTTTTGGGGTATCTGTCTTTAACAGATGCACTGCTGAACCGAGTGACCCCCACGACGCCAACTATAGAAAATCCTTCATTTTCAAGGCAGTAAAAACAACTGGACACTTCGAAAAGTGTGAGATGGTTAAGGAAGATGGAGCCAGCGATACCTACGCAGCTTTGGAGACGTCATTCTCAACAGCATCACTAAAATCTGTGTTCAGAGCTCAGAGTTCAGCTCAGGATTGGTTTTGCTTGGAAAACGCCCATCTAAAGGACACAGTTTTTTAATATGTATTTGTTAGAATGGCAGCAGCAGCACAAAGCATCACGTCTGAGATGAGGCAGAGCTCCAGCCCTGTATGTGGTAACTGTACACTGATTATTTTGAAGCACTGCCCAACAGAAAAAAAAGTACTTACCAGCTCCTGTAAGATCTGGGGCACAGATGCCACTTGGCTTCCAACACCACGGCGTTACGAGGCTCTTGTGAGAGACAACCCGGGCCATTTTTTCCTGCAAGCAGTCCGTGGGGATTGATGACTCTATTAGAATGATGGCCGTGACTCCCTGTTTTCTGTAAGGGCCTCGACACCGAGCAAAAAGCAACGGCTTAAGGAGCTTTTTTAGATCTCAATTCCTCTGCTCAAGAGTCAGTACATCCTCTTTGTTCGGCTGCTTCTTACACAGGTCAGAAAAGGCTCGTTTCGTGATTTCTCCAGCTTATGAACCTCTGCCTTCACCTGCATTTCTAGAAGTGAGCTAATAAAAGGAAGATTAATCTTGCAAGAGAAATACCTATATTCCAACCGCATCTATTCGTACCCAAGATACAGACATAGCTGTAGCCCTGACCAATTTCTGTTTCTCTTCTCCGTTATGCTGCCTGCCTCACCATTTTCTACAGGTTGGTTGTTTCGAGGATTTACATAAAACACCAACACACCACAAGAAATTTTCCTACCGTTTTTAAGTCCGTTTCCTCCTGCATATTTTGAGCCACATTTGTCCACTGAAGCACACAGACCTCAGAGGTTTTTTTTTTTTTTCCCCGATATTTATCAATGAAAAGTTGCACAGATGCCATCATTTCCAGGCTGTTACATGTCTACTTTGTTAACCAAACTATTTGGAATTCCCCTAATTCTTTGTTTTCCCCTAGCTCTTACTTAAATTGGCTCCCCACAGTTCTACCCCCATCGCTCCCCACTCTATCCTCTCTCCACCCCATGTATTTTTTTCTCCACATCATCCCTAAGCCACCTTTTCATCCCTCCCAGCTTATTTCTGCCTTCACATATTATTTATTTGGACCCATCCTCACCTCAGGTCTCTTTTCTCCACAAGCAGGTCACTGTTGTGCTTCTAGGTAACAACAAAATAATTAACTTGTGGGCTCAAGCTTATGGTTTGTAACATTATACTCTCTCAGCAGAGGAGAGACAAAGAAACAAGATATTGTATACGTTTGCTCTGCAAATATGTTTGTATTTAAGCCTCTACACACATACACATTGTGGTCTGGAATGCTTGACAGTGTTCTTAACACAGAGTCTGCTCTCTCAACCTACAGTTATGCCCCAAACTAGGGATTTTCCTTACTATTTCTGTGCTAAGTCACTCTCAAGTACCTTTGATTCCCATGTTTGGGCCTCAGACCCTATGTATCAACTCATATCTCAAAAAATCAAACAAATTTAAAAAAAAAAAAAACCACACCTGAACAGCAAGGGTTCACCACTTCCTAAACTGACATCAAAAATTCAACTTTTGCCCAACGTCAGTCATGTACCCTCAATGCAAAAAAGCCAATTAAAGTGGGAAGGAACAGGGATGGTGCACATCTACCAGAACAGAGGATGGATGCCACTGCAGTGAGGGCATTATTCACATTTAATTCAGGAAGATCTTTAATTTTTCCAAACCCATCAAAACCAGTCTCTATTATCCAAGAATCCATATCTAGCTCATGACAGACTATCAAATATTCCACATCCAACTCATTTACTATGTCCACCTGGTAAGCTTGTTAGCTTTCTGCACGCCCAGAGCTCAGCTTCCTCTCCATCACCACCTTCTTTGGAACGATTGGTCACTATTTCTGTTGGCAGCAAGTTTGTTTTCTGAACAGTCATAAAATACACCCACTGGCTAGGTAGGCACTGATAACTCAGAACAAACAGTTGTGAGTAAAGCATGAATCCAATCAGCACTCCAAAATATCTACACCTTAATCATCTTTGATAAGGCCCTGGAGTTTTGTTCTGTCCCTCCTCACTATTCACTACTAAGTGAATACTTAAATATTAAGTACTTCCCAGACACAAACTACTATTAAGAGAGCAGTGTGACAGTCTGTCCTGCAGAGTTGGATGGGATGACTTTTATTGGCAGCACTAATCAGAAGGTGTTTATCTTCACAAGCAAGTCAAGAACGTGCAACATTAATATATCCTTTTTTAGCAGAAGATGGATTTGGAGGTTTAGTGTCTTGATCAGATCTACATTCCCATTCAGAAAAAAAAAAATAATCAAAACACACAGTGTTCCAAGTTGTTTTTCTAACACCATTTTCCTAAGAAATTTTTTAATTGCTCCAAGTTCAAGTATTTTCTCACACCTGATACAAAATCTGATTACAGATTAGACTTTTTACCAACTGGCACTAAGGCACACAAGACATTCAGAGAAACAGCATATTTTCATGGGTTTTGTGGCCAGAATGACACTTCCACTCCGGGGAAACTCCTCTTTTCTACCTTTCCACTTGTGTTACTCCTGGGCTACCAGGTCAGATCTGCAGACTGGGAACAGACCACTCAGCTACAGGGTGGAACTCTGCATTTGCTCCCACCTACCTGCAATTCTTCCTGAGCATCATTAATTTTAAGCTTTTATGCAGTATGTGAAAAAAAGCAAAGTACCACATGTTCAAGTTCTTTCCTCCAGAAACAGTTAATTGCTCTCCAGTAACAATCAAGCCACTGAGACAAACAAGTCCATCTAATACAGCTTTAGGTTTTCACAGCCCTGTGAAAACATTGCCTGGAGAGCCAATGTTCCCCAGTAATGAAGGAATTCCCAGTCCATCTCATCAGAAGACAAAAGCTTCAGAAATTTTCCATTTCCAGGAAAATCTAGAACTCAAGAAGTCTTGCAACTTAATGGTTTAGTCTTAATGTTTGTTTTGCAAAACAGTAAAGGTTGTTAGACAAAGCATTTGTTTTCAAAAAACCTATGGATATTTATTGAACAATTATAAGACCACCGGAAGTTTTCATAATTAGATACTACAAAATGTGAAAAGTTTTTTAAAAGGTTGCCTACAGGAGTGAACTAATTTAGCTACAGACAGCAGATAAAGAAAACAGTTTCACTACCATTATAAGCAGGCAAGTAAAGCAATGACAGATTAAGACATACAATATACAAACAAATATTTCTTCGTTAAAAACAACATCAGTACAAAGATTGTTCTTCTCACTTCTATTGGTTTAGTTTAGTCTTGTTAGGAGCAGGTGGGCAGCTCTTGTAGAGAAGTAGCAACAGAAGTCTAAGTAGACCTGAAATAAATAAACCACATTTCAGCAAGCAATATTCAGAGTCATCATAAGCAGGTAAAACATTCACCAGTCCCTAAAAGCAGGACCGTGTAAAAAGACCCGTCACTTGTATCAAAATACAATATGTAATAATTTAGCCATCAAAAAGATGATCTTGCCAAGTTTTCTTTCTATAATATGGCACCACCTTGATGCACTTAAGAGTGCATCGTGCAGAAATGCCAACTGATCCAAATTAATATGCAAAAGGATCACTATGAAACAACTATTAGTCTTCTGTCCTAAGTAACTTATTTTTAGAATGAGCCAGAGATGACTCACAGTCCTGTAACATTAAAATATATGCATCATTCTTAGTGCCCTACGGTTGGCACAAGCAACTTGTAAATGTCAGAAAAGCATACAAACCTTGTTAATGTTTTCAGAAATTCATTTAAAGATAGAAACAGGTCCAAAAAGATGCCTGTCTAAATGCATTGCAATTACGTTACAATTATTTTCCAAATACACAGATATGCTCTGTCTTTTCTCAGCTCATTACTGACTCAAACAATTTGCCCTTCTGGGATCAATTGTTTGCTAATAAATAATTGTTTACAGTCACAAAATGATATTAAGGAGTATTCTTATTAGTTTTCCTTCTACAGCCTAATAAGATTCAAAACTAGCTGATTCCCAAGAGTCTAACCTTAACCTTGCTGTGTTTAACAGCCCAGGAAATGATGAACCATCTGTTTCAGAAAATAATGGAGGGCCAAGAGGAAATATTGTTTAATTGTAGATTAACCTCCTCATACGGCAGAATGAAGCATCTACAGAATTAGCAACCATAACTAGCAATGAACAAAAATAACTGAAAGTAGCTCTTACTATTACAAGACCAATAGCAGCAAGTATTCTTTTATCACCTCTTTTTTTTTTACCTTCCCATATGTATATAAAAGTACAACCTGATTTTAAAAATAAATTTGAATTACCGTCTTTGGATTTTTTTTATTTATTTTTCATTTGAGGAAGCCCCAGAAATAAATACTGAATAGTTCTGGTTCTATTTTTCCATGAATATCAAATTTATTTTAAAACAAACAACTCCAAGTGAGAGATGGTGTATTTATTCATATTTATTCCTCTGTAACTTCCACCTCACATCTCCACAGCGATAAAATGGCTGCTCCAAACAATATACAAGTCATTTAAGAGATGAGGGGGGAGAAGGTGCTCACATCTCCACAGTGATAAAATGGCTGCTCCAAACAACATACAAGTCACTTAAGAGATGGGGGGGAGGAGGTCTTGAGGTTTTAAACTCAAGAACTTTGATCACTCATGTGTGTCTATTTACATAGCCACTTAGGTACTAAATAATGGAGACAACCAGATAAAGTGTAAAACAGTTTTGAGGACCAGAAAAAAAAATAATAAATAGCAATGAGAAACCCCAGGAATTTGAAAATCAAACCAACTGCTCCTGTGCATAATGCAGAGCAGTGCAACCCTGCACCGACGGCAATTTTTCTACGTACCGTTCATGCCAAAGCGAGCTTAACAGAAATCTTTCACCTCCATCAATCAGTTTGCCCCATTTTGACAGCAACAGTGATAGAAAAGTGTGTTATCCGAGGGCTGCAGCAAACTCAATACAGGGGAGCTGAGAAAGCTTTTCCCTGCTTTCACACAGCCTTCCCAGAACAGCATCTACAGTCCCTTCTGGCTGTGACAGCCGAGCGCACGCTCAGCGTGTAAAGATTTCATTAATTCCAAGTTTTAAATATCCAAACGCAGTAACATTCACTCAAATAAATTATTCTTGAATTCTTCACTTAATTCCTGAAAGCAATGAGCTAGCAATAACTCCACAGCTTCATATAATAGCACCTATTCACAAAGGATAAGGGTTTGACATTCTTCTCCTACTAAACAACTGGGCACAATTTTCTCCATCAGCCGTCTATCAACCTACGGATATTGAAAGCTTGGGCCAACAAGATAAAATCAAACCCAACCCTACTGTCAAGCTGCACTATCTGCTGGCATCAATAATGCTATTCATGAATTTAGGAAAATTAATAAATCTTGGGATGAATGCTCCCGAAAAAGCTCAAATACAGGTGAAGCATACTCACTTAGGTTTTGTTTCGGCGTCTGTCACTTGGCGAATATAGATACCATCTTCAGGATGCTCAATGTCATCCATCTCATACATATAGGAGGAAGCTATTGCCAGGGTAGTCCCATCGTTGCTGAAGGCAAGTGAGGCTATGCTTGTGGGATACCGATGGAACTGGCACAGCCTCTTCTTATTAAAGGGATCCCAAATATTTACAAATCCATCCGAACCTCCTGAAAATTAAGGTTTAAAAGCTGTTTGTAAATTGTAATCGGGAAAACGGCAGCACTGAAAAGAAACAGCAAGCAAAGAAAAAAAAAAGAGAAGAGAAAACTACCTGGAATTACTTATCCAGTAAAAACACTGAGTTAGAGTTGTATAATTCAGTAAAGAGCATAACAAGTATTTCCCAAAAACCCTGCCAAAGCAATTAACTCTCACTGCAGCAAATAATTTAAAAACTCTGCAGCAAATAATTTAAAAACTCTGCAGCAAATAATTTAAAAACTCTGCTCATTGCAAGAAATGCAATTTAAATGCTGAAAAAGTAAGGGCATATAAAATAAAGGTTGACCTGTTTAAATCAAAACTAAATGAACTGATGCAAGGGTTACAAAAAATTAGGTGTCTGCTCTACCTGTAGCAAACGTGTTGTGGACGTTATGGAAGGAAATAGCATTAACTGGGTAAATCTGCTCAATGTTGTTTTCCTTCAAGCGGTGACATTTGAACGCGTATTTCTTCTTCTGGATTTCTGGACTTGGATCCAAATATTCCACCGCAACACGCCCTTCGATAGAACTTAAAACATAACCCTACAAAAAAAAAAATTTGGAGATTTTAGTAGTTTAGAATATGCATTTTAGAAGTTTACAACCCAAGAAGAGATTGCAATATAATTTATCTTATACCCCTCTAAATTCAAATAAATGAAACTTAAACAGTCTTAAATTGTGTACAACCAGACATTGTTTGTTACCACAGATCCATGGCATCATCAATACAATCTGCTTCTACAAAAGTAATAATGCAAGAGAAAAAAAAAAAACTTGCTGAGACATTCTCATTTGACCATAGTTTTAAGCTGACTGTAAAGCTTTTAATTACACCTGCAGATCTAAACAAAGGTTGATTTGGGGGAAAAAATGTTAAAGAGTTATGAACCCCTTGTATTTGCCCACCCATCCCCCAGGCCCTAAATATCTCAAATATTAGAGATACTCACAAGACTATTTCGTTTCAGAATTACATTAAAATTAGTTCAGAGCTTTATACTAGCAACTAATCACTCAAGTTGAAATAGTATTTTCAGTGAAACTTGATTATAAGTGGTGTCCACTTATCCAGTTAATTACAGTCCTGACTTAGTGCAACCTGAGATGCTTATTATAACTTCAGAGTTAAGCCCATAATAGATCTTTTCAGAAACAGGATCACAATGATATCTAGCTATAGTGAGGTTCTTTTTAAACCCATCATACAATACAATCTGGAAGATCAGCTTGTTTTAGTACAACTAGAACTGAAAATGGACAAAGCGTTCATGGCAGTTCAAGAACAAGGAACTATCACTATGCACATGGGAAAACTCCCCTCCAAATTAGGCAGAAAAAAACAGCCTTCTTTTTTTACTTCAGCAAGCCTATCTGTGGTATTTCTCTATGTTAACCTACATGGAACAGCTGTATGATCACCCAAATTGTACAATTCCCCCTAGATAATGGATCATGGGTTCTTGAGTGCATGACACAGACTCAGAGTTTAAAAAAAAATACATATACGTATATATAAATGGCATTCATAGAGTTTTAATCCTGCCCCTGTTCATAACCCATTATATAGGGTTATAATGCATAAAGCCTGCAAATTCTGTCCTCTCTTCTTCTGCAACTTTGGGGGAGGGGAGGGCAGTGTTTGTTATTTAACCACACATCAGCACTGTGATGTATTAAATAGGTTATTTTTAAAAAGGGAGACAAAACAGAGAAAAAAAACTAAAACATAATATGCTGATAAGTCAGTGGCAAAAACTTCTAAGCTATGCTATTAAAAACAGTTAACCTGGAACAAGAAGCCTCAACACCTTTTTTTTCCCCCCTCCTCCCAGAGTTTAATTTCAAAATTTTGAAGACCAGAACTTGTTTTAAAATGAGAGAAAGATGCAGAAAACTTGAAAAATAAAATACCATTTTTCCTAGAGAACATTCAGCAGAAATGTAATTATTGAGATGGTTTCTGTACCTGTTTATTGGGAAATGCCCTGATACAGCGGGTCTGGTATTTGAGACTGGATTCTCTTCGCTGCTGAACGTAACCCATGTTCCGCAAATCCCACACCAGCACTCGCCGACCTGCCGTCCCCACAATCAGTCTGTCCCCAGACACAGAAAGCGTGTAGACCTTTAAAAAGAATAAAAAATATACCATATTTAACACTTATCAGCCTAGCTATCCATTGTTCATCGGACAAAATAAAGTGTCAGCAATACGCAATAACAAAACAGGCGACATCTACAATAAAGACGAAACTATTAAGTTTATAGCTACAGTCTTTAGCTTCAATTTATAACTCAAATTTGGGATAAAGAGCAGTAGTTTGCAGCTGGTTAGTGATAAGACACCCATGTAGCACTTCAAAAGCTCACCTTGAATTCTGTACACTAGCACATCCAGGAAAAATCAAGCCCGATGCAGCATCATGCTACATATAACTAATTTAGCAAATAAAATATAAAAAAATTCAATATGCATATGCATTTATGGAATTCTAAATGTCAGCAGGTTCAGTTATCAGTCTCCAGAGCTCAGCAACTTCTAAATAACCTTCCACATCTGAGATTTCTTCCTTTTGCTAGTATTACCCATGTTCTAAATGCTACACATGTGCAGCAATGTTTACGTACAATTCAAAAGGGAAATCAGTATTATTCAAGTTTTCCTCAAAAATTATTTCAAGCATTAAATTTATCGGCTATTTCAATGCAAGAGGAAAGGAGATATACAGGGGGGAAAAAGGGGCATGGATACTGGAAATCATCTTTGCTTGGTACACACTTGCATTTCCCACTCCCAATTCATGATCCTGCAGCTTAGTCCTACAATACTACGTCATACATCTTCTTGGTGTTCCTCCATCTGGTAATCATGTGGTTTTCTTTTTAAACAGAATATTTCAAGTTGAGCTTCATGTTAATGAAGGGAAACAAATAGCCAAGGAATCATTAAAAAAAAAAAACAACACAGTACTTTGTATACTTTAATAAAACTAAGTGAAACTGAAGGAAGCAATATGCTTGACATCATTAAAAAAGACTATCGTTTGGAATTTCAACTCTGCTCCAAAAATTGGCTCTAATTGGCTCTAAGAGCTTCTAATTTTTGTTTATCAAATTTCTCATGAAAATATTCAGCATCATTCTGAATCGCTCTGTTTCCAACTGTTACTTGGGATGCAGTTATTCTGGAAATACATTAAAAACCAGAACAAGAAAAAAGGTTCGGTCAAAAACTGTATTATCAAATGAGTTACAAGTTGTTGATACAGAAGCAAGATGGAATCCAGCCACCTGTAACTGTCCTGGCACTAACAAAAGCAAACTGTAAAAATAAGCTTTTTCAAAAGTGATCTAATGTAGCTAAATACATAGGAAACAGATCTTGTATATACCTCAGATCAAGAATCACAAGTGTAAGAGACCTGGTATCCCACCAGAAGGATTCCGTTTACTTTTGGCAGATGCTTGGACAGTTTCACTCAAGCCCCTGGTTTCACTTTCTGGTTCTCTGATAAAGCCCAACTTAAAGCTATTTGATTCTGGTAAAACCACATTGAAATATCAGATAAAGCAATTTCTCTCTTCATTTGCTATAAACATTTCTGGAGAAGTTGTGTTTTCAAATAATTTCTAATAAAAAAACCTAAGCAGACAATGTGTGTGTAAATAAACTTCCTTTGACCAATCCACATTCACTCAGTGTGCATCCTTGCTCTAAAATATGATTATTTTAGGTGGGAAATGTCTTTAACATTCACACAGGAGTTGCCTAAACTTTCTGATGACCCCAAGTGCCAAATCCCACCTATGCATAAAAAGGGCAAGAAACCTTTGAGTCAAGAGTAGTTGCACACTTTAACAAGACATTTTTTTTAAATCTCCCTTCATTATTGATGCAAGAATTGATCCAAAAATATTAATAAACATCATATAAAATGTGTTTGTATGCACGTATGGAAACAAAGCCCTAAAGAACATTAAATATCTTAAATCTCCTTTACAAACCCATGTCACACCTGTACAGTAAGTATTCTTTCTCCACCACACAATCATAAATCAAATGAAACCATTGTCATGCAGTTGAGGAGGTGTACACATTTATCAAAGGCAGCATTAAAAAAAATGACATAATGAACCTTGCTGAACCAATAAGCAGCTTGATTCACTGTGGCTGTCCATTATGTGATACTCTGTCAGCAATTTATCACAGTTCTTTACATGCTACATACAACGATAAATCAAAACTAGAAATAATGCAATTACTTTATTCTGCACAAAGGTCTTGGCAGAAGTAGATTCAGCTGTGTTGTAACAAAAGTAATAGCTATTTAGATGCGATAGGGAACGTAATGATGGCTTATAATTATGACTTGACAATACAATGTGACAGAGCTACATGAAATTTAAAAAAGGTATAGGCAAAAAAAAAAAAAATATTCAATGTTAAATTATCCAGCAGCTCAGCCTGTGCTTAGAAGACTATGAAAAAAACAAAAATTATTGTTCTATAATTCTTTCAGTGACACCCCTGTAAACAGTATAAAGATTAACACACCACAGAACCATCAGAAAAAGCTTAAGACATTATATTTTACTTCATTCCTCATAGTCTCTCATTAGCACAGAGGATTTGAGTATTAGCAGAATGTCTGCATTTACTAGGCATTAGTCCAACAACAGATAAATTACAATACAAGCAATTCTGCTCAATCTTTTAATACAAGTGGAAAAAAAACCCAAAATATTATTTCAGGCAACGTAAAAGGCTGCCTCCTGTATTTCTATGCACATTTCAAAACGGCCAGGATTCAATATATCTAAAAGTCTTAGTGTTTAAGGAAATTGATAGTGCAGGATTATTAATTTCACATGCTGGTTTTGTTAGGTTTTCCTTCCTCAAGTTTTTTTTAAGTTATATGAATTTGGTCTACCACAGGTGCTAAGAACTAAGTTACCCTCTCCTATTCATGGAAGCTCAAAACCTTAATCTAAAAATCACAATATATTCCGAATATCAATGTTTTAAAATGCATTCTTTTCACAGCTTAAAAACCATTAAACGGTGCTAAGAACTAAGTTACCCTCTCCTATTCTTGGAGGCTCAAAACCTTAATCTAAAATCGCAACATATTCTGAATATCAATGTTTTAAAATGCATTATTTTCACAGCTTAAAAACCATTAAACATAACTTTTCAAATTCAATTCAGTTTAAGGCAGTGCCCTGCGTGGTGATGTTTGACCAGTGGCTGGGTGAATTATTTAACATCTCACCCAGAACACAGCACCCAGCACGTACCTTTTCAGGCTGAGAGAAGGTTCCTGCGTTACAGGGAGTTCTGGGATCCCACAGCTTAACAGTTTGATCCCAGCTTCCAGTCACCATCACATTCACCTCTGGGCAATACTCAACACACCTGATAGGAGCATCATGGGCACCAACGAGGTTTTCTGGGAGAAAATAGAATATATTGTAACTTTATTGGCTCTACAAACAGTCAGAATGCATAAAATAACGATTTTTTTTTTAAAAAAGGGACCCACTACTGCAGTACAAACACCCTATTTTCTGACATTCCCACAGGAGTACTGACACACTAGGAGCCTATTTTCTGACATTCCCACAGGAGTACTGATATCCCTTTAAGGATAGCTCAGTCTTCAGCAGCATAATTTTTGCCAAGATCAGAATGTTAAATTTAAACGTATGTCTCCTGAGATTATGAAAAGAAGTCAACAGTTTTAGGCAGCCACAGAAAGATCTTCAAAAGTATAAAGAAGTGCTCAGTATCAAATGGCATCACCACCTGTGGCACAGGCACTACTGGAGACAGCAACTTAAGCTTTTATATATTAACATTATGACAAAAGAAAGGGATTAATATTCCATATTAATAAAAATATTAAGTTTATATAAACACTTCTAGGAAGTCATCTCTAAGAGAATTGTTTGACCTCTTTCATAACATTAGTGCACACACAAGTTTGTCGAGCCCGGGCTATTGGCTAGTTCTGGTGACCATTTTTGTCTCAGGCTGAAATTCCCTTTTCTCTTTAACACACAAAAGACAAACTATCTCTGTATTTTGCACAATGAAGCACTGGAATTGTCTTACTTTCAAGCAACGTTTGTTAGGAAAAAAATGTAGTGTAAGGTCATGATGTTTGACAAAGTGAAAGCTTTATACACATTCTGCATGTATGTGATAAATCATTCTAAATACGTCTAAACCACAAACTTTTGAAAAATAATAGGCTCATTTTTAGTTCAGCTGAGCTGATTCCCCCTAATTGAGACATGGTAGCCTGTGGCAGAGCAGGATTATCCTCAGAAATCCAACTCAAGGCATCCTACAACACCACTCTATGAAACTTTCTGGCAAATGGCCAAATGCTCCCATGCTTTTAGGTGGTACTTATTGGGGCACTAGTTATTCTGCTCAATAAAGTCACCTACGACGTGAGCCTGAAATCAACAGTGTGACCATATATAGCTATTTCCTGTCCTTCCGTTTTCACTTTAAGGTAAGTAAATCAAAAAGAAATACACATGTAAAATATACCGATGAATATTCATCATGGGAAGAGTTTCCAGCCTCAGTTTAACATCTGAGCTGAATCTGTTCCTGCCAGAAGCACCATCTTCAAGTACAGAGTGAGGAACACCGCCTTGTCCAGTGCCTCGGTGACGAGAAAGGGCTGCACAGCATAGAAGACCACTGAGCACTGACACCTTAAATCAACAGAGGCTACTATTTAAAGCAAATATCCCCCAACTGAAAAGAACTTGAAACATATGCCGTTCATCTAAGTATATAAATCTGAAGCTTAGGCCAGCTGCTGAGACCACCTACAGAATTCAATCTGCTTACCTTGGTCCGTGTTCAGATCGTGCATTTTCAGTTGCTGATCTAACCCTCCACTCCAGGCATGGGTAGGATCCTATAAAGCAAAAAAGTTCCACCTTATAACATGCCTTAAGTTTCCCTGGTGGCTATATATTTAATCTCCCGGGTTCATAACACAGGACTTGATTTCAATAGTTTTGGGAAGTTACGAATTAAAGACACAAAGGTCAAGATCCGGCCCAGATCTAAACAGGCAGATGACAGAAGCTTTGCAAAATGTTTAAGTAAAGCACTTTGAGCTACACAATTATTATTTTTTTAATTTAAAAGTAAAATTAAAAAGAAAAAAAAACAGTTAGAGGCTACATCAAATAACATATTCTAGAACAACAAATCACATAATGTTTATTTTTTAAATGACCACCAACCTAACCCAGTTCCATCCAAGCAAAGTGTATCCCTTGGAAAACTAATTTACAAACTAGAAACCATTTGAGAACCTGCATGTCGAGCTGCAGCACGATATTAGCCATGTGACAAAATGTTCAGGGAAAAAAGCACGAGTAGAATTAAAAATATAAACTGATCCTTAAAACATTCAGTAACATGTCAAGACCCAAGTCACGGGAGGACATGCCAGAATATAATGCAAAAAAAAGATGCTAAATGAAACCTTCTAATTAAAAAAAAAAAAATAAAAACAAGAAAAGTGGCATTAATAAGCTTAACCCATTTATATTTCAAATCCAGTGCATTAAAAAAAATCCAGAAATCAAATATCTGTTGAATGGCCCACTGGCTCACTTGGAACAACGCTGTGTTTCCAAAACAGCCAAGCATGAGAAAGTTAAAAAGAAAACACTGAGCGGCTGTGAGCATTTATTGCAAATAAAGATTCCTGGCTGCACACTACCAGTACAAGGCTTTGTTGGAAACACGCGCACAATTTACCACAGAGTTGCAGAAACAGCACAAACCAGCTCAAATTACTTTTGCCCACCACTTCCACCAGAAGTAAATGACTTGAGTGCCTGCACCCTCCAAAGGAAATATCTGTATTTAGGACTAGAATTACATTCATTAAAAGAATAATAATTGGCAGAAGTAAGCTATTTTTTTAAACCTAGATTTCAGGTAGGATTTCACTATCTCTTTGATTTCAGGGACTGACAATTTCTCACGTATCTTGAGGACTGTATGTCTATAAAAGAATAATTAAAAAAACCACTTACATAAAAAGCACAGTCAAGGACAGCTCCTGAATGTTGATATTTGAGTCTCATGGTGTTGGCAGGAACATCATAGAGCCGGACAGTTGTGTCCCACGATGAAACAAGCAGAAACTGAGATGTATTTGGACTAAACTTTACTGATGAAATACCATCATCTGGAGTTTGATTTAGTTTGAACTCGTTTGATCCCGTCATCTGAAGGAAAAGACAGTAACACACAGATACAATTTTAGTACTAACAGGAACATAAGCCTAGGCAGTTAGTCAGTCACTGATCCATGCTAAGGTGAGCAGACCTGAAAAGTTTACTACCTTTCACACAGAAGTTCAGAACACCCAGATTCCTGACAAACTCTCTAAATTTCACGACGTAAATCATTATCCAGAACCTCAATAAATTCTTTCCCCTACAGAGAGCTTTTAAATTTAAATATCAAATATGACACACAAACAGTACAAAAAGTGTACTTTTATTATGATCTATAAGCTGAGATATCATTACTTACAAATGTATTTTTCCCTCATGGCCACTGTGTACGTGGCTATATCTTTAAAAGTAAGTATTTATAAATTACTGCAAACATCAAGAAGTTAAAAGACATGCAGGGAGAAAGGTAAAGTATCTGATTTGAAAACACCAACAGAAAGTGCTGGTTTGTTCCTGATTTGGTATGACTTCCATATGCTTTCAAGAAGTGCAACTGGATCATCTTTTAACTAGTTTTGGGCTCTCTGCAACTTTCCAATCCTTTGGCTTCCCTAAATGCTATAAAATATTTCCAATGAAACAGCTTTAAGATTTTTTTTTTTCCTTCTGAAGCTTAAAGGTCAGATAAGAAAGGAAATTTATGCTTTGTGGGGTAAGGAAATGTAGACCAAACATGTAAATGTGATGTGACTAGATAAAAAAATATCATCAATTCAATGACAGATCAACCCCCAGGAAGGTAACTGTAGCGCTCACTTCACAGGACTGGTTAGTTATATACACAAAAATTCAAATGAGAGCAGAGACTTCGAGCAGCAAATTTCAGCTGAGAAGACAGTGCAGATCTTACAAACACTCCAAAAGAAGAAATTATTCATTATATGGATGCTAACAAAATCACCAAACTTTTGTTAAAGCTTCAGAAAGCCTTAACAACACATTTTCCCTTATGCTGAAAGGGCAGAGAAGTAAATTAGCTCAGATTTTCCATAACACTATCACTCCTGAATTTGTATGTACAACTGCAAAGGTAAGATTAGACTTCTGAGAATAAATCAAGAGAGAACGAGCAGATGAACCAGGACAAGGTTCAAATTTAGAGCACTACTATTCGAGTTCAGCACTTGTCAGGAACTGAACAATCATCAAGTTGTACAATAATGTGAGCACTACACATTCCTACACTGAAAAAATTCCAAATTAGAAGCTTTGGTGGGCGATCTCTAAGACATCCTTAAAAAAATATACCCACTGTATAAACAGAGTGGCATTTCTGCTATTTAAACATGAAGTGAGGGGAAAAAAAAAAATTTAAGAAGTGGAAATAAAAACTTAAGTCCTTTTTCAGTTCTGCTTTAGAAATACTTGGGGGAAAAAAAATATGCTTGAGAATTTGCCACATGTATTTCTATGTGAATACTACAGAGAATTTGGCAGCACCTTCATCACACTTTAAACGGTGAAAGGTACCTCAGCGAGTATTTCAGGAGGATGTACACGGACACAAAATCCAAAGGAACTCAGAACAACTACGAGAATTAGGCTGGATGCACTAATTATCTACTTGCAGCAGAAAACTCAAGCAACAAACACGAGGATTTGAGGCGCCTGGTACACCAGTTACAAACCAATCAAGTTGGTTTCACAAAACCAACCAGTTTACAAAAGCAATCAAGGAGCAGCACTCCAGGAAGCAACGTTACTTACGGCAGAAACCTGGAAGGATCTCCCAAAGATATTTTTAACGCAGGAAAATGTACAGAATATTAGAACTGAAATATATCCTATCTTTTACACGTTACCCAAGAAAAAGCTGGGGGGGAGGAAACAAAACAAAGAAAAACCAAACCAAACCAAACACGAAGAGGTCTGCATATTCTCCCAAGTGCAACTGTTTCACAACAGGAATTGCCATGCCCGCCCCAAACAACAAAGTCCTGGTAAAATTTTCAAGCACCGCGAGAAATAACTCATAAAGCAGACGCCACAGGGCAGATGCACGCTGCAATAAACCGCCACACTGACTTCACCACAGGCTGCACCTTCGCCATTCCGCTCATTTTTACTGAACGGATAAGAAATCGGTGCTTTTATAGCTCCTCTTAACACAACACGCTCATTCATCCATTCTGCTAGCCGGAAAACACTGCCCGAAGAAAGCGTTCGGCCCACCAGCCTGCCCCTTTCCCTTAAGAAGGCATTAAAAGTACCGTTTTCATCTTGTTCCTTTGGTCGCTTCCCGCAAGGCGACGGAAAAACTTTTCTTCCTGCCTTGAGCAGCGGCGACGGAAGGCGAGAAGCACCGGGGCTCGCTCCGGGGGTGCGGAGAAACAGGCCTGGGTCGGCGGAGATGCTGCGGAGGGAAGAGAGTGAGAGAAAAGGCCCCCGAGGAGCGGGGGAGAACCGAGGCCGAGCGGCTGAGGGGAGGCCGCCCTTAGGCCGCAGCGCCCGCTCCGCCGCCACGCAGGCCCCACCGTACCCCGTAAACCCCTTCAACCTTCCCAAGGCCGGGCGGTGGGGCTGGGCGACGGGGAAGATCTTCAAAAGTATAAAGAAGTGCTCAGTATCAAATGGCATCACCACCTGTGGCACAGACACTACTGGAGACAGCAACTTAAGCTTTTATATATTAACATTATGACAAAAGAAAGGGATTAATATTCCATATTAATAAAAATATTAAGTTTATATAAACACTTCTAGGAAGTCATCTCTAAGAGAATTGTTTGACCTCTTTCATAACATTAGTGCACACACAAGTTTGTCGAGCCCGGGCTATTGGCTAGTTCTGGTGACCATTTTTGTCTCAGGCTGAAATTCCCTTTTCTCTTTAACACACAAAAGACAAACTATCTCTGTATTTTGCACAATGAAGCACTGGAATTGTCTTACTTTCAAGCAACGTTTGTTAGGAAAAAAATGTAGTGTAAGGTCATGATGTTTGACAAAGTGAAAGCTTTATACACATTCTGCATGTATGTGATAAATCATTCTAAATACGTCTAAACCACAAACTTTTGAAAAATAATAGGCTCATTTTTAGTTCAGCTGAGCTGATTCCCCCTAATTGAGACATGGTAGCCTGCGGCAGAGCAGGATTATCCTCAGAAATCCAACTCAAGGCATCCTACAACACCACTCTATGAAACTTTCTGGCAAATGGCCAAATGCTCCCATGCTTTTAGGTGGTACTTATTGGGGCACTAGTTATTCTGCTCAATAAAGTCACCTACGACGTGAGCCTGAAATCAACAGTGTGACCATATATAGCTATTTCCTGTCCTTCCGTTTTCACTTTAAGGTAAGTAAATCAAAAAGAAATACACATGTAAAATATACCGATGAATATTCATCATGGGAAGAGTTTCCAGCCTCAGTTTAACATCTGAGCTGAATCTGTTCCTGCCAGAAGCACCATCTTCAAGTACAGAGTGAGGAACACCGCCTTGTCCAGTGCCTCGGTGACGAGAAAGGGCTGCACAGCATAGAAGACCACTGAGCACTGACACCTTAAATCAACAGAGGCTACTATTTAAAGCAAATATCCCCCAACTGAAAAGAACTTGAAACGTATTCCGTTCATCTAAGTACATAAATCTGAAGCTTAGGCCAGCTGCTGAGACCACCTACAGAATTCAATCTGCTTACCTTGGTCCGTGTTCAGATCGTGCATTTTCAGTTGCTGATCTAACCCTCCACTCCAGGCATGGGTAGGATCCTATAAAGCAAAAAAGTTCCACCTTATAACATGCCTTAAGTTTCCCTGGTGGCTATATATTTAATCTCCCGGGTTCATAACACAGGACTTGATTTCAATAGTTTTGGGAAGTTACGAATTAAAGACACAAAGGTCAAGATCCGGCCCAGATCTAAACAGGCAGATGACAGAAGCTTTGCAAAATGTTTAAGTAAAGCACTTTGAGCTACACAATTATTATTTTTTTAATTTAAAAGTAAAATTAAAAAGAAAAAAAAACAGTTAGAGGCTACATCAAATAACATATTCTAGAACAACAAATCACATAATGTTTATTTTTTAAATGACCACCAACCTAACCCAGTTCCATCCAAGCAAAGTGTATCCCTTGGAAAACTAATTTACAAACTAGAAACCATTTGAGAACCTGCATGTCGAGCTGCAGCACGATATTAGCCATGTGACAAAATGTTCAGGGAAAAAAGCACGAGTAGAATTAAAAATATAAACTGATCCTTAAAACATTCAGTAACATGTCAAGACCCAAGTCACGGGAGGACATGCCAGAATATAATGCAAAAAAAAGATGCTAAATGAAACCTTCTAATTAAAAAAAAAAAAAATAAAAACAAGAAAAGTGGCATTAATAAGCTTAACCCATTTATATTTCAAATCCAGTGCATTAAAAAAAATCCAGAAATCAAATATCTGTTGAATGGCCCACTGGCTCACTTGGAACAACGCTGTGTTTCCAAAACAGCCAAGCATGAGAAAGTTAAAAAGAAAACACTGAGCGGCTGTGAGCATTTATTGCAAATAAAGATTCCTGGCTGCACACTACCAGTACAAGGCTTTGTTGGAAACACGCGCACAATTTACCACAGAGTTGCAGAAACAGCACAAACCAGCTCAAATTACTTTTGCCCACCACTTCCACCAGAAGTAAATGACTTGAGTGCCTGCACCCTCCAAAGGAAATATCTGTATTTAGGACTAGAATTACATTCATTAAAAGAATAATAATTGGCAGAAGTAAGCTATTTTTTTAAACCTAGATTTCAGGTAGGATTTCACTATCTCTTTGATTTCAGGGACTGACAATTTCTCACGTATCTTGAGGACTGTATGTCTATAAAAGAATAATTAAAAAAACCACTTACATAAAAAGCACAGTCAAGGACAGCTCCTGAATGTTGATATTTGAGTCTCATGGTGTTGGCAGGAACATCATAGAGCCGGACAGTTGTGTCCCACGATGAAACAAGCAGAAACTGAGATGTATTTGGACTAAACTTTACTGATGAAATACCATCATCTGGAGTTTGATTTAGTTTGAACTCGTTTGATCCCGTCATCTGAAGGAAAAGACAGTAACACACAGATACAATTTTAGTAATAACAGGAACATAAGCCTAGGCAGTTAGTCAGTCACTGATCCATGCTAAGGTGAGCAGACCTGAAAAGTTTACTACCTTTCACACAGAAGTTCAGAACACCCAGATTCCTGACAAACTCTCTAAATTTCACGATGTAAATCATTATCCAGAACCTCAATAAATTCTTTCCCCTACAGAGAGCTTTTAAATTTAAATATCAAATATGACACACAAACAGTACAAAAAGTGTACTTTTATTATGATCTATAAGCTGAGATATCATTACTTACAAATGTATTTTTCCCTCATGGCCACTGTGTACGTGGCTATATCTTTAAAAGTAAGTATTTATAAATTACTGCAAACATCAAGAAGTTAAAAGACATGCAGGGAGAAAGGTAAAGTATCTGATTTGAAAACACCAACAGAAAGTGCTGGTTTGTTCCTGATTTGGTATGACTTCCATATGCTTTCAAGAAGTGCAACTGGATCATCTTTTAACTAGTTTTGGGCTCTCTGCAACTTTCCAATCCTTTGGCTTCCCTAAATGCTATAAAATATTTCCAATGAAACAGCTTTAAGATTTTTTTTTTTCCTTCTGAAGCTTAAAGGTCAGATAAGAAAGGAAATTTATGCTTTGTGGGGTAAGGAAATGTAGACCAAACATGTAAATGTGATGTGACTAGATAAAAAAATATCATCAATTCAATGACAGATCAACCCCCAGGAAGGTAACTGTAGCGCTCACTTCACAGGACTGGTTAGTTATATACACAAAAATTCAAATGAGAGCAGAGACTTCGAGCAGCAAATTTCAGCTGAGAAGACAGTGCAGATCTTACAAACACTCCAAAAGAAGAAATTATTCATTATATGGATGCTAACAAAATCACCAAACTTTTGTTAAAGCTTCAGAAAGCCTTAACAACACATTTTCCCTTATGCTGAAAGGGCAGAGAAGTAAATTAGCTCAGATTTTCCATAACACTATCACTCCTGAATTTGTATGTACAACTGCAAAGGTAAGATTAGACTTCTGAGAATAAATCAAGAGAGAACGAGCAGATGAACCAGGACAAGGTTCAAATTTAGAGCACTACTATTCGAGTTCAGCACTTGTCAGGAACTGAACAATCATCAAGTTGTACAATAATGTGAGCACTACACATTCCTACACTGAAAAAATTCCAAATTAGAAGCTTTGGTGGGCGATCTCTAAGACATCCTTAAAAAAATATACCCACTGTATAAACAGAGTGGCATTTCTGCTATTTAAACATGAAGTGAGGGGAAAAAAAATCTAATAAGTGGAAATAAAAACTTCTTAAGTCCTTTTTCAGTTCTGCTTTAGAAATACTTGGGGGAAAAAAAATATGCTTGAGAATTTGCCACATGTATTTCTATGTGAATACTACAGAGAATTTGGCAGCACCTTCATCACACTTTAAACGGTGAAAGGTACCTCAGCGAGTATTTCAGAAGGATGTACACGGACACAAAATCCAAAGGAACTCAGAACAACTACGAGAATTAGGCTGGATGCACTAATTATCTACTTGCAGCAGAAAACTCAAGCAACAAACACGAGGATTTGAGGCGCCTGGTACACCAGTTACAAACCAATCAAGTTGGTTTCACAAAACCAACCAGTTTACAAAAGCAATCAAGGAGCAGCACTCCAGGAAGCAACGTTACTTACGGCAGAAACCTGGAAGGATCTCCCAAAGATATTTTTAACGCAGGAAAATGTACAGAATATTAGAACTGAAATATATCCTATCTTTTACACGTTACCCAAGAAAAAGCTGGGGGGGAGGAAACAAAACAAAGAAAAACCAAACCAAACCAAACACGAAGAGGTCTGCATATTCTCCCAAGTGCAACTGTTTCACAACAGGAATTGCCATGCCCGCCCCAAACAACAAAGTCCTGGTAAAATTTTCAAGCACCGCGAGAAATAACTCATAAAGCAGACGCCACAGGGCAGATGCACGCTGCAATAAACCGCCACACTGACTTCACCACAGGCTGCACCTTCGCCATTCCGCTCATTTTTACTGAACGGATAAGAAATCGGTGCTTTTATAGCTCCTCTTAACACAACACGCTCATTCATCCATTCTGCTAGCCGGAAAACACTGCCCGAAGAAAGCGTTCGGCCCACCAGCCTGCCCCTTTCCCTTAAGAAGGCATTAAAAGTACCGTTTTCATCTTGTTCCTTTGGTCGCTTCCCGCAAGGCGACGGAAAAACTTTTCTTCCTGCCTTGAGCAGCGGCGACGGAAGGCGAGAAGCACCGGGGCTCGCTCCGGGGGTGCGGAGAAACAGGCCTGGGTCGGCGGAGATGCTGCGGAGGGAAGAGAGTGAGAGAAAAGGCCCCCGAGGAGCGGGGGAGAACCGAGGCCGAGCGGCTGAGGGGAGGCCGCCCTTAGGCCGCAGCGCCCGCTCCGCCGCCACGCAGGCCCCACCGTACCCCGTAAACCCCTTCAACCTTCCCAAGGCCGGGCGGTGGGGCTGGGCGACGGGGCCGGGGCTGGTCCCCGGCCCCGGCGCCCAGCCCCGCCGCCCGGCCCCGGGCCTCACCTCAGCGCTCCCGCCTGCGGCCTAGCAACAACCGCCACTACCGCCACCGCGCAGGCGTACTTCCCCTCGCCCCGCCCACCGGCGCCGCGCCGCCTCGCCATTGGCCGGTTCGAAAGAGCGGAGCCGTGCGTGTGCGCCGCGGGGCACGCTGGGAGTTGTAGTCCCCGCCGCCAGAGGCTGAGCGGCCGGTTTAACATCATTTAACGGGGAGGTGGCGGCGGCGGGTCCGGGTCCCACTGCTGGGCTGTAATAACGTTGACGGCCAGACCCGAAATGTGCATTATTCACCCTAAAAAAACACACCGGGAAGCGGAGCGACGGCACCGGCACCCGTTACCTGCCGGTCAAGGGTAGCACCGGGCTGAAAACACCGGTTGTGGAGCGCCGCTCTCGTTCCTACGCACTGAAAATCACCTTATTTCTCTCTTCCAGTCCTTTATTACTCTCTTATCTTTTTAATATATTTTTCCCCGTTCTTTTTTCTCTGCCGCAAACGTCCCCCGCGCTCGGTACCGGTTGGAGCCGGTGGGCGCCGTTTTAAACAACCGCTTCGACGCCTGATTTGCTTTTTTTACTTTTTTTTTTTTTTTTTTTTTTTTCCCCCTTTTTCCCCCGTGGGAAGGCGGCCGTGGGTGCCCCGGGGGCGGGGAACGGAGCCACCGAGCGCCGGGGCCCCCCCCCACCGGGAGCTGCCGGTCCCGTTAGTCGGTGGCTTTTTCTAAATCACGGCGGCTTTTAGCAAAATACTCCGAAAACAAACAAACAAACATACAAACAAGCAAACAAACAAACAAACAAACAAAATGTTTCTGAATCCGGCCACGGGCACGGGCGGCCCCGGGATTTCCTGCAGAAACGAGATAACAAACATACAAACAAGCAAACAAACAAACAAAATGTTTCGGAATCCGGCCACGGGCACAGGCGGCCCCGGGATTTCCTACAGAAACGAGATAAGGAGGCGGAAAAATAAACCCTCGGCGTTACACGGGGCTTTGGATCTCCCGGGCACCGGGACCCGGCTGCACCCCCCGGGTCCCGTGAGACACCTCCCGGCTGGGGACCACGCAATCGAGCCGGCAAATTTACAAACGAGGCTTAAAACGTTTTATTTTTCTTTTTTTTTTTTGGTGTGGTTTTTTGTTTTTTTTCCTTTCTTTCTTTAAAAATATTTACAGATCTGAAATAACGCTTTTTTAATTAATTTTTTTTTTTTTTTTCAAGTGGCAGGATAGCGGGGGGGGGAAGGGAGTTGTTCCCCCTTCCTTCCTTCCTTCCTCCCCCGGTCACCCCCGGGTTTCCTCCGGTTGCCTGTCCCTCCCGTCAGTTCCTCCGTTCCTCCTTCCCCGTCACGGAGAGAGGGGGTCCCCGCCACGGAGAGGGGGGTCCCCGCCGCGGAGAGGAGGGTCCCCACCACGGAGAGGGGGGTCCCCGCCGCGGAGAGGGGGGTCCCAATCACGGAGAGGAGGGTCCCCACCACGGAGAGGGGTCTCCCCGCCACGGAGAGGGGGGTCCCCACCACGGAGAGAGGGGTCCCCGCCGCGGATCTCCCCGGCCCCGACGGGGCGGGCGCGGAGGAGGGCGGTGGCAGGTGGTGAAGGGAGGGTTTTGTGGGGGGACACACGACACATGGCGACGACGGGCTCAATAGTCGATCTTGTTGTAGAGGTTGTAGAGCGGTAAGGCCGAGAGGTTGCTGCCGGGGTAGTAGAGAGGGGCGGGGAAGGCGATGGAGCGGGGCACCGGCACCCGGAGGAGGGAATTGTCTCTGAACACCAGCGGCATCCCCACCAGAGTCTGCGCCGAGGCGTGGGCCATGTTGGCCGCTTCCAGCTCGGCCGAGAGTTGCCTTTTCCATTTGTTCCTTCGGTTTTGGAACCAGGTTTTCACCTGGGTCTCGGTGAGCTGCAGGCTGGAGGCCAGGCAGGCCCTCTCCGAGCTGCTCAGGTAGCGCTTCATGTCGAAGGTGGACTCCAGCTGGTAGACCTGGCTGCGGCTGAACACCGTGCGGGTCTTCTTCTTGGCGGCACCGGCCTGCCGGTCCCCGCCGTCCCGCTGCCGGTCCCCGCAGGAGGGTGAGGAGGGACCCAACGGCTTCTCCTTCTCCTCCTTACAGTCCTGCTGGGGGGGTGAGAGGAAAGGCCCCCGGGGCTCCCCGCCGCTCCCCGCCGCCGCTCCGCTCCCCTTGGAGCTGCCTGCAAGAGAGGGACAGGGAGGGGGTCGCACGGCGGCCGGTACCGGCACCCCCCGACGGCAGACACCGAGTACCGGCCCGGGGGGAGGCACCGGGATGCTGGAAAACATCACCGACACCGGGAGGAGCCATTACCTTCTGGGCTATCCCTGTCCCTCCATGGGATGGAGGGGTGGAGGGATGGATGGAGGGATGGAGGAAGGGATGGAGGGATGGAGGAATGAAGGGATGGAGGGAAGGAGGGAGGGATGGATGGATGGATGGATGGATGGATGAAGGGATGGATAGATGGAGGGATGGAGGGATGGAGGAAGGGATGGAGGAATGAAGGGATGGATAGATGGAGGGATGGATGGATGAAGGGATGGATAGATGGAGGGATGGAGGGATGGAGGGATGGAGGAAGGGATGGAGGAATGAAGGGATGGATGGATGAAGGGATGAAGGAAGGGATGGAGGGATGGAGGAATGAAGGGATGGATAGACGGAGGGATGGAGGGATGGAGGGATGAAGGAAGGGATGGAGGGATGAAGGGATGGATAGATGGAGGGATGGAGGAAGGGATGGAGGAATGGAGGAATGGAGGAATGAAGGGATGGAGGAATGAAGGGATGGATAGATGGAGGGATGGATGGAGGGAGGGATGGATGGATGGAGGGATGGATGGAAGGAAGGATGGAAGGATGGAATGACAGACAGGTGGCTGTGCACGCCTCAGTGCAGGCAGAGTATCCAGGCTATAGGGGTGCTTTCCCACCCGCCACGAGCCGGCAGATTTTACTTTATAGCGCAGCATTTCACAGTCCGTTATGGAGGGATGGAGGAAGGGATGGAGGAATGGAGGAATGGAGGAATGGACAGGGGGATGGATGGATGGATGGAGGGATGGAGGGATGGAGGAAGGGAGGGCTGGAGGGAGGGATGGTGGGATGGAGAGATGGAGGGATGGATGGAATGATGGAAGGATGGATGGTGGGATGGATGGACAGATGGAGGGATGGATGGAGGGGG